TCTAATAAACCATGGTGTACAGGGACTACGATTAAACTAGCTAGGCCTAAGCGACAACTCAGAATTTCATTCAAAAGACTGAGTTGATTCCACCACGGCAGTATTTCAGTGAACGCCGTTTTTGCTTGCCTGTCTATGATGGGGACGAGTTCGCTCCAGTAGAAGCGTGAATGCGGATGTGGCGTAAGGTGAAGACCCTTCCGCAGTTAACGAAGATTCGAGGCGAGCAACCAACCCATGACACTCAACGAGGCTCAACTGAAGCATATCTAAGCGAACAGGTACTTGCACGAGTGTATATCAATATACCGGACGAGCCTACAGTCACGAATGTGGAACGAATTCTGATTGATAAATTCGGACCTGCGACCCACATGTTCCATTCGGAACTTGTGACAGATCCACGCCACCAAACGCGCGGCATGAACCTAGAAAACATGGGAGCGGCGCGGCACCGTTTAGTCGTGCTCAATGAGATACCACAATACGTTACAACAATAACTATCTATCAGATGAATTCTTTACTACATTGCGAAGGACCCAAGGCATGTCCCTGGTACTTCAGATCAGTTTGCTTGACGCGGCAACGGTGGCAAATGACTCCAGACAGTCTATGGGTTTTCTCGGCCACCGATGCTTTAGGTACCGCCTCAGCGAACGGCCCGACAGCCACCGGGGCACCCGAAGTGTATACATTGGCGTTGCAAGCTCAACCCAGAGGGCGAGCAATGGAGGAACGCATAAGGTGCTGGAAGCCAACAAGGAGATTCAGGACGAAAACGACGGGAATAGCCAGGGAAATCAAGCCGACGATCAAGGCGAACACGGAGACGATGAATCGGTACAACCTCGCAGGGAGACGTTTGAGGAATAATACCACCGAGCAAAGGCAGCTAAAAAAGTGGCTGCATGAATAGAGACGGAGCTGCGCTCAACTCTGGCAAATGCTACCACGCAGACAGTTAGCGACTTGCGCGAGATTCTGCTAGCACAGCGTGTGCGACGGCATTATGTGACTTCGACACGAATCGACTGCAGCCCGAGACGACTGTGACAGACGAGCAGAAGGCACTTTTCACTTCCGAACAAGAGATAGACTGTAAGTAAATTATCACTGTTCCAGATGATTTTAGAATCTTTTGGGAGTACACAATTTCCGGACATTGGTCTGATCACTAGGTACTTTACGTCAGGGTAACCATGACGGCACTCATGCCTCTAGAGGGAGGCCCGTGGGCTTGGGACGTGTTGACAAACGAATGGATTATTTGCGACTATCGGCACGTTTTGGACGACACCCACAACTTACCAAACGACGTTTTTTTTACAGCGCTGCGCAGTTGGCGACCGATGGCGGCGGAGCAATCTACATACATCTACGTTAGGTCGCACATGTTATAGTTTCCTATGAACCGGATATACATGATAGGGGGCGTTATTTTCCACGCTATCAGAATCATAGTGGGAGTTTAACCTTGAACGATCCCACTGCGACCAATATCCCACGGCACATTCCAGCACATTCAACTACCCACAAAGAGTACAGCCACGCTTCGCAGCAATTCATCGAGGCAGGGATACGACAGGACGCCAACAATTAATACACAAGCTCTACTCCAAGCGATTACCACGGAGGCGGACTGCAAGAGAGCACTGTACGGATCTATTGCACAAACCCTAGTATGTTTACTAAAGTACTGAAGGTGCTTCGGATTGCGGGGCGTTCTTTTACTTGTATAGCCTACCCACAGCAACAAGCGGAAGCAATGTTGTATATGTACGACTATTCAGGACCAGCAAAGGCGACAGCGCCTGCCAAAAGGATAATGAAATCTATTTATGATACGTTTTCGCCATACAATCATAACAGGGCGGCGAACGACCAACAATTGGTTCACAACCATTCAGAGTCAAGGATGGCGATACTTGATACAATGCTGTAGCCCAGGACAGAGCGATAGACGTGCACGAGACGATTGCTATGGTAACGGAACGCGATCGAATGCACGCACACTGCAATGCTCTAAATGCACACTCAGACACAAGTGTCTACAGTGTCACGCTTGCAGAAAGATTATTCATTGTAGGAACAAATGTCCTCCATACCCATATACAGAGGTTCTCGTGGTTATTCCGCACTCACCACCTCAGTGACTGGCAGAATAGATGGGACCCGTTAATGCAGCTTTATGTGAAAAAGCACCATTCAGGGAATATAACGATACGAGTTCCAGACCAACAATGTTTTTAAGAGCGCTTGTCAATAACTAATTTCGAGATAGACGAGACAAATCTGGTATTTCTCAGGGGTACGGAGGCACAGGGGCGATCGTTTTTGACGGAGCGTTTAGAGTCTACAGGGGTGGCTACGAAGTTCGAGACAGACGTACTTCTAGTATCGGAATGGGTTCCGCGTGGCTGCAACACCGTGATAGGGTTCGACACACTTCAACAACACTTAATTGGAAATACGTGGAACACATCGATATCTCCAGCGAAATTCATCCTCCTGTTACGCCCCAACCGGCATGCGCCAGACTACGTTGACGTTGCAGGAAAAGAATACCATTTCATGAATTCGGATAGGGTTGCAGGCTTGTCATACAAATCACCAGCACAAGCGACCAAAGTGAAATTCGGATTCAACAGTGTTCGATTCGACGCAAATATCACTAAGACGATTAAAAATGTCAAGGTTGAGCAAAAGCTTAAAGAGAGAGCACAACCATCACGACAAGTATACTTTACAAGGGATCCGGTAGTCAATGAAATTGAGTTACTCATAGTCTCATAATACTTCAAAAATGAAAAGCAGAAGACGGGAATAAATTTATCCGTTGGGTCAGCTACATGAAGGCAGTGGTGAAGGATAAAAGTATAGTGCCGCAGAGTAAAGACGACTACGACTACCGAGATACAATAAACTACGGAAAGACCAACAAACAAACTGCGTGAATTGTATTTAAACTACATATGGAGACGGAATTGACGGAACACTGCACCAATGCCATCATTATGACGATGTGACATGGCTAGATCGTACCATCAACTACAGCCCGATGACGATATACTTGCTACAGGAAGGTATTGAGAATGGATGCGCCAGTACGATCTTTGGTAAATTCCCGGATGCAGAACCGTACATGAACGATTTACCTATCCCGACGAAGAATCTAGCGACGGGATCAGTACGCGAATCACTTTCGCATCACTGGGATCAGGTCTTGAAATTTGTTTACATTTGCGCGGACAACGATGTATTCAACTCCAGCCATCCATATACCAACTTTTCTAAGTTGTAGTATGTACCTTGGAAATGCGACGACATTCTTGCAACAAAGAGAAATAGCGTTGTTTATCACACTATCGTTTAAGAATAGAGCATGGCGGGGACCGTATCTACATAACGTTGCTGCCATTTTAGCGCCGCAATCATACCTCACTAAGAAAAGGGCAATATTCAGATGGAAAGCATTCAGATTAAGACACTTCCAGACCTGCTACTGTTTGTCATTCGCAGTATACGCCTTTATTGTTCTTTACCGCATCAGCGTTTTGTAATTATGCCATACGCTGGTAATGAGGCCCTTGGTGCTGCTGCATTTGTACAGATTCCCCCACATTGGGCTCGCGAATACGAGGAAGATGAGGAATGTACTAGGCAATGTGAGACACATCGTGTTCAAATGGGACTGTCATCGGTAGTGGTAGACCCTCTGACACCACGCCTAATTATTACGGAGGACGAAGAAGCAGCGCTATACTGTACACTAGACAGATCTCCGATCCTGTAATACATAACCCAATCGAAAAGCCTGCAACATTATAAGGATATATTCCATAGCAGGTGACAGAATGCATCAATGATTGTTGACTGCATTTTCCATAGAGATTGGAATGGTACACTTGCCTCACCACAGAGTTGTACACTTGCAGAGGAAGGTTCACTTCGTGACCAATTGCAGCATACTGATACACATACTAGAAGTGGTCCACTTAACGATTAATAACATAGTGGTTATTGAACAACAACGTTTGGAAGGACAATACACAGCACTTATCACATGTCAAAGGGATTACCTCGACCAACACACCTGCCATCTTTTTCAGTCGACCTGGCTTATGCAGATACTATCAGTGAGTTTACCAAAGATACGCAAGACCCACATCGGAATTTTGGTAATACACTTATACTTCTGTGATTTCTATACCCATAGTCTTTCTTCTGTACTAAGTTGAACGATATAAAAAAGAAGTACTGAGCCACCGACAGAGAAATGACGGGCTGTGTCAAAGACTGCCGGTGATAAGTTTAATAGACCGGTTTTCTTAGTATCTTGTCAAATAACAACTCATCCACATAGTGAAATACTTAGAACAATACATGTACGGGAATACGGTACGCGACAGCATCTAGAAGTTGATATGCAGTACATACCTGATCCGTTTACAGTATTTGAGGGGTACTTCACACACACAGCCGATCGTCTCGACCCAATTTTTATGCCAGTCGCACGGCCTTGAGTCGAGTGGAAGCCCAGTTTGGCACTACCAATAGAGATAATTTTATTTGTTTCAAGATGGTAGTAGCGTACAGCGTCGCAGCAGATTGTGGCCGTTGTTTTACTCAGAGTAGACGACCACCAACGAGTTTCATAGCACTACAACTCGCCGATTCAGACGAACTCAGTATAGCTGGGACTGTAAATTCAGTAAAACTGATCTTGTACAAAACAAATCACGGCTGATTTGATGTCGAACGGTCTGCGAGTATACGTCACGGACCTGTACATTACCGTCGACGGTACTGGCACGTGGGGCCCTGAAGACGCTTTTGATACTCGCAAACCCCAATACTAAATGACCGTTGATCTGCAAGATTTCCATCTCCCGATAATCATGGATGTACCCATCATTATTTCACACCGTTCGGAAACTTTCTTGCACAGAGGCAATCATATCGCCGGCCTCTTACTGTGGAATTTTACATTTCTAGCCAAGCTAGCGGGTGGTCTCACGCGTCCGCCAACAACTCGCCCCAACGATTTCATTTCGGTTGATGTTTAGAACTCCGAGGCCTACCTTCGGCTTTGAACTAGTTGGGGTATAAACTCACGTCGTATTTTACCGAAGCACGCTCCCAGCATACTTAGAGCTGCCTATCGAATTTTTGAATTTGGTTACAGCACCATTGAAGAAGGTACGAACATGGAGTACAGATAATTAGTCACCACCGACGGCTCGTTCCGATCAAGAGAGCGAGTTCGTTCCACAACCATCTTTTCCTAAACATTGAGACGCAGCATATCGGTTTATTGATCTAGAACTCGCTCCAGCTAGCGACACTGCCGTACCGAGAACAGATGAGTCTCAGAAGGAAGCACGTGCCTCAGTGTTACTTCCCGCGGCGTGGACGTTGTACTGTCACATGGCCGACACTCTTGACTCGTACGAGACGGACCTAGCTAAATTCGTTCACAGCTTCGATACGCCAGTACCACTCGATCCCTTTCAAGAGGGACCGTTGGGTACATGGGCTCAAGGTGGTCAATATACAGGCGCCCCACACTGTAGAAATAGCGGTTCCTAATAGTAGAAGCACATGTTTAACGTAAATTTTAAATTTTGGGATCCGTAAAAAATGCAAGGGTAGATTTTTGCAACAATCAAAACAATCCATTTTCGGATTTTATTTTAAAATGCAGTAAATGGTACACACTTTAGAGTAAGGAAACTCAAACTTTACTGTGCATTTGAGATTATAGTTTTCCAACTAACATTAAAATTTATACAGGAAAGGAAATCAGGCAAATTTTGTAACTTGGTATATCCGAAAATACTCACAGAACAAGATAATCTCCTGTGAAGTAGGACATGTTGAGTCCTTCTGGCGAGCCAAATAAATGTGATCGTCTATGGCTTAAACGTTATGGAGAACTAGATACACCTTGGGGTTTTGATTTTTGATTTGATTTTTCAAATGTTGGACATAGCCTCCTGAAAATTGAACAAAGCCAAACATTCTCAAAACGCTTGGCAAATATTGGTGCCAAGCATTTTTTTAGTTTTCTTAAAAAAATATAAGCGCACAGCTTTTTTTAACTATTATATACTATGTGTGATCAATTCAGTTTATCTACGATAAGAAGCAATTATGGTGTGCTATCTTGTCTAGTGTTCATGCTTCCCTCAATGTTGACAACGGGTGATAGGGTTCAGGAGCGTCATTCCGATGCGCTCAATCATATCCGCTTTTGTCCCTAAGGTAAGATCAAGTTGACTGCTGCCTAGTTGTACCGCTTGTAACTGCGTCAACAGAAGCTGTCCCCCAGTGGAACACCACACTTCGTAGCACATCCTTACACTTTTCAGCTGTCTACTTTCCTGAGATATTATGAGTATACATAGTGCCTTCTGTTCCACATGAAATTGTATGACGACCCTTCTTTGTGTTAGCTTTCACCATACTAGGGGTAACTATAGTAGCTGCACATTGTCGATTGAGTAGCAATGTCATTTTTTTGCAGGCAACATTGTAAAGGGCGTTCAACAAAGCTGGCACGATAATATTGTTCTGCCTATATGAGCCACAAGCGTTGCTGATGCGCTGAAGCATAATCGTTCTGATTGACACGCAATCCCGCTCTGCTTGCGCAAGTAAACTGATTAAACTGGATAATATCCGAGACAAGACCTGTCATAACCACCAGAAGTGATGTAGGCCACGCCAGTCCCCTTGTATCTAGTTCTGCTACTAAAATATTATACATCTGGTCGTCCTCGTCCAAACCTTTGCCTTTAATCGCCATTTTTATACACGTTTCGCACATCACGTTCGAGTTTCTTGTCCATTTGCACGCAAGATAGGGGCGATGTACGACAAAGTCAAGTCAATCAATGACTGTTGCACTAAATTTAGACCATAGTTCAGAAGTGTCTTCCAGAAATATTTTAGCATTATCACACGCTGGTTTTCGAGTGCTTCGTACAGCCTGAGCAGGCGGTACGTTTCTGTAATGCTGTTGCACGTAGAGTATGGATGAATGATTTACACAAGTATCATAGGGAAACTTACGACGTAAGGGACCAGCACAGGTGTCCAAAAGGATCACTCTATTGATCCCGTAGAATCATATGAACGCACATTAAAACTTAGCGATTGTTACATTATACAGAACAAAAGCCACAGTTACTTTCTTTAGATGGTATGCCAAGTCCTGCTAGAGCTGACGAACAATCCAGTTATATAGTACGATGGATGAAAATGTTTCCTCACAGATAATGTTACATATAGCCATAGAGTAGGCGGTGTAGTCCAACACGACAGTTTTAGCTGTGGGGGTTTGCTTTGTGCCTATACTAGAGTGGTATCAGAAAATCCACAACTCGTGTATGATTTAGAGGCATTGTCTTCGCACAACTATGTCACAAGTATCCAACATGACAACAGAATTTGAAAATGAATTTCCGAAATACTATTCTCGTATGCTCCTGCAAAAGAGCATCACAGACCATGTGAGTTACGCCCCAATCAGTAAGATATGTTTGGCAACATCCCTCCCCCCCTCAACACATTTATTCGTTAAAAATGTATATAGCCGAAGGCTCTTTGATCAAATTCAAGCAAATTTTGCACGATAAAATCATAAAATGTACATTAAAAAGGTGGAATTGTCGCTAGATGTGCATTTGTACATATTTGGTCAATATTTCAGTATGTTTCATCAGTTAAATGGGTGAATATACATTCAGTGACTTTTCTACATTTTGAGGCTTTATTCTTTATGAACAATACTAATGAGGGATTCTATGGCCGCAAGTTAGCTATAAATTCGGCCAATATGCACCCCTGTAGGATCGTTCATCCATACATTACTTTACGTAGTGAAAAACCCTCATCAAGTTTCTTGTCAATAGTTTATTTAAAATGTACTGAAGGTTTAAAGCCGCGATCTACGATAATGTCTCTGGCTGAGAAAAAACGCGCGTAGGCTTCGTGTTCTAGATGGTGTGCCTGTTGTAGATTGACGCACCCGTGTCTGGATCGTCGAAAACCGCGCATGACACATCCTCTAGTGGCGGGCGTGACAAGTTCTTGACCGATCGGTGAACTCGCCAGCTCGGGGAGGTCATCGGGGGGAAACGTCGTAATGTAAAGTTGGCTCAACAAGGCGAACGTACTAGAAGGGAATACGTTAAATTTCAACAGCAACAAAAAAAAGAGTTTAGCTTCAGCCCTCAATCAGGGAATTTTAGACTGAGACTGTTGTCTATATCGTTACACTCTGATCACTCACTACTTCGGTCTAGATTTGTTTGGTGTCAACAACTAGATCATCCATAATTGTTTCATTGGTCGCATTCATGCTTTGAAACAACCCTTTAATATTAATTGTCAAGAAGATAATCTTAAATCCAAATGTGGTTGGAATATTACAACTACATTAATTGAACCGATACTTGACACATGCCCCAAATGTATCCGTACCGTCACGCCGATCGGACCTATTCACCATTGGGGTTTTTTAACGGCCGTTACGCCCATAAGCCATCACGGACGAAGTCAATCATTATTTTCTCAACACCAGCGATGATTCCAATGGGGTTAGTTCGTTGTCGCCGCACAAGATAGATTTAGTTAGTTTGCTACGGGGCAACCTTTGAAGCACGAGGACCAGACGGAGGCAGCTATTATCCAGGTATGAACAAGTATACCCTAGGGAACATGGTATGGAATTTGTGGTCGATAAAGGGAGTCCTATAATTAGGTAACAGTTTCAGGGCCTTTCGGCGCGGTATGAAAATTTACTAAGTCACGACCGATACGCACAGTGTCAACGGCCGAGTGGAAACTTTCAACAAGTTGCTCCAGCAAAACGCTCCCTTGGTGTGGGTTTACGTCACTCTTGGATATAGTCCCCCTATTCTTTTCTCGAAAATTGTGATGCTACGTACTCGTCAGTCATCAGAAGAAACCTACATACTTCCACTTTACGGATGCACAGGTTGAGACCGTATTGGACAAAGTGTTGACTTTCATTAAACCCACAGTGTCACTCCGACAGGAACTACATACACATGAAGAGGAGGCGCTGTCGTGGTACAAGAGGCACATCGTTCACAAAAACTGTCCGCCACCACAACGTCGATGCACTCATGTTTCCAATTAGCCGATGTCAGATCAAATGTACACCAATGGCAGCATACATACACAGGCTGGTTGAATCTTGGCTGGTACCCGCATTGATCGTAGCGCACCACCCACTCCTCATTCACTAGATCAAGAATGTCGGTTTAAACAAAGAAAATCGTGTACACATTAAAACTTTAAAGCATACATACCGCAAATTGGAAGACCGGAAAACGTGTCGCTCCGTTCCCTAGCCGGCTATATGTACGGCATGTTGCTATTTGACGTGTCTTCAGTGGCGGACTTACCACAGGTCGAACGGTAGGTAATAGTTGCGGCTTTTAAAAAAATTCATCCGCGCGCAAATACTTCTACGGGTGCAACTCGGCTTGGCGCAAATGGACTAAGTCTACCAACAGGTTTTGAAGAAGGAAGTATTTTTCAACGAGCACGTGTAGTATGTTGTCAATACATCATCCACGCTGGCATCAATCAAGGAAGCATACCGGTCTTCGGTATACCGAGTGTATAAGCAGGAGCAGCTCAAATTCTGGGCTGGTAGGCAATCCCAGCTCGCACGCAGTCAGAAATTTCGTCAATCTTGCGCAATGAAGCGATATTAATTGTAGATGACACAACTGATAATACGACAATGGATACGGCTGCCGATGTAGAGGTGACTGAGGATATAGCAGACGTGATGAAACGATCGAGGACGCGTTGTAACTGTTGTACTTAGTAGTAGGCCGGTAGTTTAGCTGATAGCATAAATAGACCAGTTTGGAAGCGAAACACACAAGTATACAATGATATTCTCATTCAAATATGTATTTCAGTACTTTTTTTCCAGACGACCGGCGACTGGGGATGATATGGGACTGGCGAGACTGCGTGGTGGAGAGAGAGGGGGGGTGGTTGTAGTTCGGGATACGACATAGTGTCGTCTAGAGGCCTAATCTTAGGAGTACGGGACAAAGCACGATCAGACCGTCCCATGTCATATTTAATCCTACAGGACAGGGCAGTGAGGGCACGGGAATTCTTTGGTATTGGTATTTATTATGCGAATCCGAGTCCCTCCTATATCTAGGACGGACCCAAATACACTAGGGTTCAGTCATACACTACTAGTTCACTCAGGTCTGAGTTCCATCTAGTTTAGTTTCCAATAGTCTAATAAACCGTAGTGTAAAGCACACAGTACAAGTGCTTTAATGACAATTACCTGATTGGGCTTCTTGTCACTATAAAACTGATATTGAAGCAGTATCTAGTATTGCCGAGAGCAAGCCGCATTTTTTTTGTACTATGCGCTGATTTTAAGCCCTACGACCCTAAACCTCTAAACCCTGAACCTATATTGAAGCAGTTCAATAGAATGCCAAATTTACTACTATTTTATTCACAGTGCATATATCGTCTCTTACCAATCGTGACGTGTGTGAGCGTGCCACATAGAAAATACTTCACGAGCGTTGCAAGGCAGGTATAGTGGCAGGCATAGCGGATGTAGTGGAAATAGACTTTGAAAGAAATATATATATTTACTTCTAATGTAATTTACCTGCAAAAATTAATATCCATCATTTTTTATTTCGGCGAGAATTGCGGGTGTACTTTCTTGTTGAGTAGGGTCACATTAACTTCTTTAACTTTAGATATTATGGGAGGCTATGGCATTTGTTATCTGTACTATCTACTAGCATTTGTTGAGTCAAACTGCATTATATTCACACACCTCAAGGTTTGGAGAAGTCACGAGAAGTCATATTGAGTCATACTGCATACATAAAATTCACACAATTGGCAGTTTGTACAAAAATTGAGTTCTAAATTGCGGATTGTATTTGATCGTGTAAACGCTTAACCATCCAAAAGGGGCATGTTATCTATAGATTTATCGAAAGCAGGCATATGCTTCAGCTGGAAGCAACCGTATGTTATACAGTACACCAGAATCGCGGTTGAATACACTATACTGATTTATTTAAACCGAATTTACTAAATTTCCTTCCATGGCACTACATACAAAGACTCAACTGTGCTTGTTTATATCCTATTACTAAAATTCTCCTGCCTAAATCACACCCTGCGAATCCCAAATCCATTCAATCGCCCTCGAAATCGCGCTGTGGATAGCTCAGCCTCGATCTATGATTCCACAATTTACAAATAGGACATGATATCGGCAACTTTCTAAGTTATGTATTGATCTGCGTGTCGATCTCACCCATGCCTCTGCCCCTGCACATTCGGACCGGTCCTTATTTCCTGGGGCGAGGCCATGACGGGCAACTGATTTCCAGATAAACTCTGCTTTCGCAAGGTGTGTGTGAACGCACCCAAGCCATTCACGGGTGCCGAGGCTAATCTCTGAGCAGAAGCATGGTGTCCCAGCAAAGGTTTGCCGCCCAGGTTCATATTCGGCGGTTGTAACTGTTGCTGCTGTTGCTGGATGTTCTGTTGTTGTTGTTGCTGCAGCTGCAGCTGCTGGTGCATATTCTGTTGCATGATCTGTTGCTGTTGTTGTTGTTGTGCTTGTTGTTGTTGCTGCTGCTGTTGTTGCTGGGGTGGCGTTGTTTGGCCCGGAGTTAGTCCTATCTTGGGCGGTTGCTGCACCTGCTGTCCATTCGCGTTCACATTTGCTTGATTCTGATTGGATCCCTGGGACAGGTGCTTATTACCACCCATCCCACTTTGTTGTAATTGTTGTTGTTGCTGCTGCTGTTGCTGCTGAGCACCGATACCTGACAGAGATTTTGTAGCCGCTGGTTTCATCGCCTGAGTTCCGTTGACATTCAACTGAGTCACGGCAGACGCTGGCGTGGCTATTGGGCGTTGTGAGTTGCCACCCGTTTGTCCTGTAGCCTGTATAATTACAGCAGTATTTGTATGATTTAACATTGAGGTATACTACATGACACAACATTATTCGTTCTGCCTAGCATTGGGATATAATGCATAAATATAACGTCCGTTCTATCTAGCATTGAGGCATACAGTATGATGCAATATAATTCGTTCTACCTAGCATTGGGATATAATGCATAAATATAACGTCCGTTCTATCTAGCATTGAAGCATACAGTATGATGCAATATAATTCGTTCTACCTAGCATTGGGATATAATGCATAAATATAACGTCCGTTCTATCTAGCATTGAGGTATACAGTATGATGCAATATAATTCGTTCTACCTAGCATTGGGATATAATGCATAAATATAACGTCCGTTCTATCTAGCATTGAGGTATACAGCATGATGCAATATAATTCGTTCTACCAAGCATTGGGATATATACCATGAGAAGTAGTCATAATATACATCATTCAAGTATCCTATTTAGCACTCAAGCAGAGTGATGCAGCCTTCTTCGTTCTATATAGCATCGAGGTGTACAGTATGACATACCGTCGTACTATATAGTATTCAGATATTCTATCTCACATTCATACAGAGTGATAAAACACTATTCGGTCTATCTAGCATTGAGATATAACTTCAATCAACGTCGCAAATATAGTGTAAAGAAAAAAGGTCATGTGTTGGAACTGAAACCCTCAATCCTCAAAGCTATTTTTAGCACCACACGTCAGACATCACCATCAACACAACGCACAGTAAACCCTTAATATACGCACCTTGCTTTGTCTCTGAGACTGAGACAACTCGTTCAGGGTCTGCTTCTTCGCCTGAGTAATAGCAGGATGAGAATAGAATAACAACGAGTGTGTATTAGTATGCATACAAGAAGAAAAAGAGGATTGTGTAAGGAGGTAGGAGCCCTTCTACACAGTGAACAAGAACGTACCCTTAATAAACCCTAAAACCCTGAATAGTGAAACGAATCATCACGAAATTCACAAGCGTAGGAGATCGTTATCGTATGCTTCGAATGTACGAGAGGTTCGGGTTCCTAAACGTGTACGGTTTTGTACAACATATTGGTGACCTGAAAGTGTAAACCGTATTGGCGACTTATAGTATGAAACTTTTTGATAACCGGGAAGCGTAAAGCATAATAATGACATGAAGCAAGTATACATTCGGACACACAGGCTTGTTGGTTTAGAGACGAACTAACGGATCACAAGCACTGATACACTACACAAGGCGCCTATCCATACAGTCGACATTATGGGCAATGCTAACAATGTACTGATTGTATAGGAAGATTGAAAGAAGGCTGGATGTGTGCGCACGAGATGATACTGTCTATACAGGTTTAAGGCAGAACAAAAAGTTCAGCTAATATACAGACTATTTATGCAAATATATACATATTTACATATTCACACATATATATATGTATATGTGTATGTATGTATATAGGCTATACATACATGCATACATATATACACATACAAACACATATACATGTATAAAATATACATACATACATACATAAATACATACATACATACATATGTTTATATATATATATATATATATATATATATATATATATATATATATATATAGTATATGTATATGTGTATTATATATATATATATATATATATATATATATGTACATACATAAACATACCGAAGCGGGTTTCATCTGCTTCTTATTAGACTTGGACATGGTCCCTTCGTCTTGCAGCGACACAATCGACTGCAACATCTTCTCAGACATAAACGCTGCGATGTTCGACGGAGCTGGCGAGGAGGTCTGTAAGTATGTAAGATACAAAACGGAATGTTGGGATTTCGTGTATACGACACCTAATTTTGGCAAGCTAGAAGAATTTTAATATCTGGAATAGGCAAAACAACTCCAACATATCGAGATTCTGAAATCGGCACATTAACGACACAATTTGACAAATGCCTCGATCAGCTCACAACCAACCCTAATCACTCAACAACAACGAACCCCCAAAATAAACCTACCTTGGTAACGGCGTTGTCAGTTTTGGAAGCCGAAAGATCATCACCTGATAGGGAGTATCGATTTTTAGTGTAGGATTTAAGGATGATTTGGTTGTGCACAAAAACGGACCATGTAAACAGGGACAGAGCCGATGAACGACTTAAAGATTTGAATTATTGATTGCATACAATTTGAATGTAAACAAATATAAATCACACACACACACACACATCTATATACATATATATATATATAAATAATATGACAAATAAATATACAATTTTATAGATCACTTACCGCTTGCATTATTCTGATGGGAAATCGCCGTTTTGCCCAGATTCAGTGCAGTCGGCAATACCTTCGGCGAATTCGCTTGTTTCGGACTGTCCTTTGGCGACGGTTGTGGTGTGATATTATTGGACCACCTCGGCCCCGTTTGCTTGGCTGCAGGTGCACCCAGTGAGCCCAAATTCGGTGTCGCATTCTGACCCTGATTTTGGCTCTGACGTTGTGCATTCACGAACGATCGCCGCTCCTCCCGATGTTTCTGCAGCAGATCCAGCATCCCCGCCTTTTGCCGATTCACCAGTTCTGCGAAGCCCTGACACGTATTCAAGGGTACGCCGTCGAATAAACACTCCACGGCCACTTCCACCCGTTCTTGCCAGCTGGGTAATACCCCGACCTCTGTGACGGACGGGAGTCGGCTGAGTGTCGGTTTGGCGGGGAACCTCCCTGGCTGCTGTTGTTGTGGTTGCGGTTGTGGTTGTGGTTGTTGGTGCTTCTTTGTCTGCAACGCCAGACTCGGCTGAGACTGCGACTGCCCGACCTTGGGCTGTCCGGGACCACCCACTGATCCACCAGTATCCATAGCAACCACGCCATCTGTGGCATTTGGCTGATTTTGGTGTTGCTGTGGTGCTGCAGTTCGTAAATTATTCTTAATTTGTGACAGTTCCGGTTGGCTGTAGTTTGCGCGCTGATGAGCTTGTCCTTGGGGCAAATTCGGCCCTCCTTGTGTCATTTGAGGTGCATTTTGGCCCTGTATATTAGTGGGCACGGACCCCCTCGCACGCCCCTGTCCTTGCACTACATTATGATCTTGTGCCTGTGCTTGCGTTTGTGCCTGTGCTTGTGTTTGTGCTTGTGCCTGGGCTTGCAACTGTGCGTGCGCCAAGCCCTGTGGCTGCTGTTGTGGATAGCCCGGTTGACCAGCCTGATTGGGCTGTCCTATTTGTTGTGGGAGTGGGTCACTAGCTGCCAGCGTTGTGTGGTGCTGCAGTTGCTGGCCAGTCCTCTGCAGCGTAGACGCCGCACTCACCACCGATCCTCTCGGCGAGCTGTGAGTGGAAGATACGCTGGCCGTATCCGCATCCTTAACACTGTTCAAGGCCTGTACCTGAGCAGCGGTGGGTGTTGGTGTGGGTATGGGTGTGGGTGTACCCACACTGCCCTGATAATCCCCCCCACCGTCCGGCGTTGTGTTAGGGGTGATGCCTACCCGCGTCCCTCGCAAATGTGCGTCCAGAAACAAGTTATTGCGTAGCTGGGATGCATCCGGCATTAGAAGCTCCTCGTTCGAGGATGCATGCTGCCTTGTATTCGGGGTGCGTGTCTGTGCTTGCGAGTGTGTGGTGCTGTTGTGTGCGTGTGCTTCGGCCTGGTGTTGCAGCAGCGCCAGCTCCACCTCGCGGTCGGCGGCTTTCTGAGACTTCCACTCGTTGACTAAGATATTGATACCTTTCACGACACGGTTGTAGTCTTTCTTCTTCAGGATACTCGACTGTACCATTTCATTGGCCACCTCCTCGGCTGTGTCCACATTCTGCATAGCCCAAGGTAAAGCAGATACATGTAACTAACTCGATCTCCTTGGATATCTTATAGATGCGTGCGTATGTTGTAAGGTACAAGCCACTCGAGAATTCATAATTCGATGGGTTGCGAAGATGAGTTAGATGCCTGCACAAACGTACAAGCACTACTTTCATATAAATTGCCTTGTAGATTCGTGGGTAGAATTAGGAGGCATGCTGAGTATCCATGATATGACATTTTGCGAAAGTGGGCTAGAACACTGCTTAGGAGTGGCGCACGACGGTTGAATGGCTAAAAATACATATAACTGAAGATAGCAACATGTGTACTATCCGTTGGATAAAAGAAACCTATAAAAATTAAAAAAAGGAAATTGGACTCATTGAGAATAAAGGTCACAAAAGCTAATAATTCTTGTGACTGTAGGATAGGACTCATTGAGGGTACCGTAAGTAGTATTTAAAGTACGTTAGTACCGTCACAATGGCTAGACTTCTTGTGACTGTAGGATAGGACTCATTGAAAGTACCGTAGGTAGTATTTAAAGTACGTTAGTACCATCACAATGGCTAAAATTCTTATGACTGTAGGATAGGACTCATTGGGAGTACCGTAGGTATTATTTAAAGTAAGTTAGTATTGTCACAGTGGCTAAAACTTTTGTGACTATAGAATAGGACTCATTGAGAGTTAACAAAAATACTATAACATGCAAGTATTCAATACAGATACTACCGTAGACACATGAATCCAAATAGTATCGTACAGACATGAATATATTGACGTGTAAAACAATAATACACATATGATACAGGTACCATCATACACACATACAGTATTGACATACTAACAGACTCATACCACATCAAAACGAAGATACAACTATTTCAAATGGTTAATTGCTAGCATTACGTATGCTGGCACAACAGTTTATCTATAACAGGCACACATATACATATAGATATCCAAATCTAAGTATTCTACACAGATATCATCATATAAACATCCATATAGAGATATGATATCATTCACACATACCACACCGATCAAGACATACCACATCAAAGGGGAAATGGACAGCCTTCTTTTCTAATGGTTGGTTGCCAGCATTGCGTATGCTGGCACTAAATTTCATCTGTATGGTGTGTGCGTTGACCTCGTGCACGATAATGACATCGCTCTCCAAGCCTTCCTCCGTGCAGTTCCCACCAGAGCCCTCGGTAGATTGATCAGCGGTCACTATAGGAGCGGAGAAGACGGAAATGAGAGGGTATACGTGGATGAGTGGGATATTTATCATATAGAAATGAGAGGATATGTGTCATATATATAGTAGATAAAATACACATCATACACAGAACAGAAGTATACTAAGTGTTATATATATATATGTATACACATACACACAAACACTTATATATTTATGTATATATATATACATATATATATACACACATATATATACATATTGACTGAAATAGATATATCTACATGTACAACTATAAATATACATTCACATATACATATATATATATATATATTTATAACTATATATATATATACATATATATATATATATATATATATATATATATATATATATATATATATATATATATATATATATATATATATATATATATATATATATATATATATATACTACTACTACTA